AAATGGAAAAAGCCTAAGTGTTCACCGAGAGAGGCCTGGATTAAGAAGATGTGATCTATACATAGAATGGAACACTCTTCAGTTATGTCAGCTAAATATCACCACTTACCACAAAATGGAAGGAACGAACTACATGTAGTAAAGCAAATCAGAAAGATAAAGACAAGTATTGGACCTTTTCACATATATGAGCAAAACAAGGAACCACAGCAGATGAACTGACAAAGCAAAATAAGTATTAACTATCAGACACCCATAAGCCAAATATGGTTTTTGAGGTTCAGAGGGAAGTGGATGGGTGAAGGGTAACTAGGGTAAGGGGTGGTGGCGCAAAAGGAAAAAGAAGAAAATTATTGGGGAAGAGTTATATAGTTTTATCAAGTTCAAGTGTTCCAAAATGTCATGAGACAAAGCTTATACTTCAGTAAGGCAACTTTCCTAGTCTCCACAGTACTCAAACGTGGATGAAACTCTTGATAAACTTTGGAAACTCATAGTATCCTAAACTGTAATTAGAAGCACAAAGCTGTAAAAGACATGGTGAACAATCACAAATCCGACCTTATGATAAGTTAAAAGCATAAGCTTGTTTGAAAAGATTCTGTGAATTTCCCAGCATACTAGCTTTGCAATTTCGTATCATTAAATTCACCCTTGCACAGATGGCTATATACAGACATTTGATTAGGTTTTCTCTGGAGTCAAACTGTGTGTGTTCTTTAGTTAAATCTGCCAGCAAATACAGTCAATAACAAAGTAAAACAAGAAAAAAGAATGGGTTTGTGTCTGTTATAATTCTATCACATTATTCAGACACAGCCAGTTATACAGCTTGATTATACAGATGACATAGACGTTAAAGAAAACACTGGCATAATTTTATAACTAACAGATACTTTTAAAGAAAAAAATCAGGGTGATGGTTTTGAAACCTAAATACTTTGAATTTCTTCAAAAATTTATCTACTGAAAAAAGGCAACAGTGTACCTTCCAAGAACAAGAATTGTTAAGAGATAATTATAGGTTCTAAAAGATGGGCATTAGAGGTAGAAGGAAGAGAGAGGGAAAAACATGAAAATTATAAAATTGGCCCTCCCTGGTGGCACAGTGGGTTAGGAGCACAGCACTGCAAGCTGGCCGCAGTCGCTTCAGTGAGAGTTCGATCCCCCGCTCTGGAGCTGACCCACATGGTGCAGCAGACCTTTCCTGACCCGCCCGCTGCTCCCCTCAGCAGTGTACTTCATCGATCTGCATGTTCTGCTCCCCACTCTGTCCCTGGTGAATCTTCTTACCATCCCTGCACCTCTGGCCTGCACCCCAGTTCTGTATGCATAAGTAATTAAATCTTTTAAAAATGTATAAAATCATTTCCATCCCTAAAATTGCCTGTACAATGTCCCAGGTACTGTTCTACGCACTTGAAATGCATTTACTTCTCACAATCTCACACTACACGAAGTAAGGAACAACTATACCCAATTTGCAGGGTAAGCATCTGAATCACAAGGTAAGTAGCCTGAGGAGGGCACACAGGTGGTAGACGGCCCCGCTGGAATTCGAACCAGGCAATGTGGCACTGTGGCATGTCACAAATACTGCTTGCTTCTGCACTGCCACTTTCTGTCACCTTAACAATTGTTATCTCATCTCACCACAACAACACCATGAGGTCAATTCACAGACAAACTCCTGGAACATCAGACATTTATGAAATAACAGATATTCCACATCAAGGGTTTCAAACTCCAAAGTCCTAGGAGAGAGAAACAATAAAATAGAGTTTCTCGACAGGACTGAGAGGGAAGTAGTTGGTCTATATCATCTTTAAGAATCTCACACCAGGGGCCCTCCCTGGTGGCACAGCGGGTTAAAGCACAGTACTAAGAAGCTAAAGCCACTTCCTCATGAGTTCGATTCCCGCCTGCCCTGGAGGTGACCACATGGCGCGGCAGACCTCTCCTGACCCGCCCGCTGCTCCCCTCAGCAGTGTACTTCGTCACTCCGCCTGTTCTGCTCCCCACTCTGTCTCTGGTAAAGCCTCTCACTGCCTCTGCACCTCTGGCCTGTACCCCAGTTCTGTATGCACAAATAAATAAAATCTTTTAAAAAAAGAATCTCACACCAGGCCCTCCCTGGTGGTGCAGCGGGTTAAAGCTATGCACTAAGCTAAAGTCACTTCCGCATGAGTTCGATTCCCGCCTGCCCAGGAGGAGATCCACATGGCGAGGCAGACCTCTCCTGACCCGCCAGCTGCTCCCCTCAGCAGTGTACTTCATTGATCTGCCTGTTCTGTACCCCACTCTGTCTCTGGTGAATCCTCTCACCGCCCTGAGCCTCTGGCCTGTACCCCAGTTCTGTATGCACAAATAACTAAATCTTAAAAAAAAAAAAACAAATCTCACACCAAAATAAATGACCAGTCCTATCTGTGGGCAGGTATAGAGTCTATTCATCTCGCTGTAGAGAATTCCAACTGGTAACAGAGTGCATGACATACGTGAGGACATTCCACACATACTTCTCTGCAACAGCCATAACATTTAATAACTCATTCTTACATCTGTCTCCATAGACTGTAAATTCCATGCATTTGTTAGACAGTGTCCTAGGTACCTAAAATATGTCAGTGAATAAAATAAACATCCTTACCCTTTGCTTATATGTGCCTCTGGCACCTAGCAGAGTGTGGCACCTCTTGGATCTCAGTAAATATTTATTGAATTAACAGATGAATCAATTTGGGGGGCAGGCAGAAGTAAAAGAAAATGCTACAGAGAAAATGAAAGGTTTGCATTTCATCTATTACCCTCCAGACTTTATTAAAATCTCAAGATGCATATGATTAATAAAGATATTTATGTTTATGCTCTAACTCATCTTTAAAATAAGGAAAGTCACCAAATACATTTTAATTCCAAAAGTGAACTATGGCCCAGGTTCTGAAGTACATGTATTCAGGATGTAATAGTTGCTCCCTTGTCAAACTAAAATTTCAAATTATGTTCTCGAGAACTTAGCCTGTGTTTGTGTTCATCACTTTCCAAAAGGTGACTTCCCAAGACAAGTCTTCTCCCAATAATTAGAGAAGTTTATCTGAAAGTTTATTTGGTTTTTCTAGCGAGGTTACAGGCTGTCATCGACATTGCTATTGACTCCTGCAATTAGAGGCAAAGGCATTTCACCTCTGTGCAAAATATTAGTAAATTAACAATTCCCACTCTGCATTCATTTTGGAAATCTGCTTTGCTTGTGATGACGAACGTGACAAGCAGGGAGTAATCAGAGACACTCTGGTAATACCTTAGCCTTGCAAATATCAATTAAAACTCTGGCTCTGCACCTAGCAGTTGGGGTTTGGTCTGTAAGGTAAATGTCTTTTATCATGACACAATGGAGAAGTCAACATTGATAATTTGTGAGACAAATAAGCAATAACCTTAATAAAAAATAGTCACAGTCACATCCATCCTAATTTCCTTGAGCCCTTCCGATTACTAACTGTTCTCTTTTAGATCATAAAATAAACTCTGGCATGATGAACAATTTTCAGATCAGATTTATAATCTCTGACATGACAACTCTGACTCAAAGAGCAACTCCTAATAAATATCTCTTATAGTGCTAAAAAGAAAACAAATACATTATTATTCAAATGTTCTCTTTCAGATCTAAGGGCATCTCAGTCAATAACATGGTTTTAGTCCAGGTATTATCAGGTCGTAGATGGGAAGGTGTCAGTGGACTTTATAAAATCTGAGAAAAGCATCTGTGCATTTCATTGGGTGGGCGTGTATCAATTTTATCAGTTCCTCTACAGTGACTTGTAACCTTACTAGATGAGACTTCATTGTCTGCTGAGAAGTGCCAAGGTCAGAGAGAAAGTGCTGCAGTCATCAGCTAGTTATATCGTCTTTTTCCATAATGTTCCGTTTTCAGTTAGCCTATGATTCTCTTTGTCTCCTTCATTTTAATAGTTGAATCTCTGCTATTATGGGGGTCATACATTTAGCTGAGATCCTCTAGTCTAGTAACTATATGAAGGCCCTTTAGACCAATAACTGCATTAACTATATAGTTCATATTATCCTTCACAGGGGCTTTGAGTATCGTTAACCACAAAACAAGCTAACCATTCCTGAAAACATTAATATCTGCATTGTGGCAGCAGCTCTCTGCTCGCTTGTGACCATGCAGGTGTGTTTCTGCACCAACCTCTGTTTGCAAAGCAGCTGAGGTGGCTCTCTCCCAAGGCTGCCCGCCTCTTACTAGACAGGAGTCTCCTTTAACAAACCTGTCCCTTTCAGAGGCGACTCTTTCTGTCCTCTGTGTCTGTGAAAGCACACTTTCCTTCCTTTCCCATTTTATGATAAACCTGCCCTTTTGAATAAAAAAAAATTTGCATTATACTAATGGGGCAGAATGATCAATGCCTTCAATTTTTAGACACTATCACTTCCTTATGACATGTCCAACCTTTCAGAAACATTTTGAGCCATCCGAATGTCATTTTTTAATGTGCTACATTATGACAAAGTATAACTTACATGTTCAGTATAACTCTGTACCAACCATATGAGTTTTAAGTGAACCAATTTTATTTGGTTTCCAAAGCAGCAGAGTTAAGAAACTGCACAAGCATTGCTTCAAATTATTCAAATAATTATATCAAAATTTCCCAAAAAATTTATTTGAAAATTATCTCAAAAGTTTTTCATTAGCAGCTATATAATTCTAGCCAAGGCTAAAGTTTATTATTATCTCTTGCAGGAAACACACTAAAATGAAAGTGTTTTTACCAATATGGCTTTATAAAAACAAATCAGATCAAAATAACTTGATTTATTTCTTTGACTCTGCACTATCCTTCCCCCTAACTCCCGCCAACCAAAGCCACTTTTTAAGAAAGAGGATTTCTAAACTAGAACATGGATTCACTAGAATCCATGTTCATTAGAATATGGATTCATTTACTGGACATGTAAATGCACAGACAACTTACTGTCATGATGAGCCCCTTTTCTTGGAAATATTTCACCAACGGAGCCGCATTCTGTTTGAAGTTTATTAATCTCCTCTGTGTAGCTTTCAGATTGTCGTCAGGCCGCCCCTGCTGCTCTGCACGCTTCAGCAATCTTTCCTTGAGTCTCTGATTGGCGCAAGCCAGAAATACCACCAAGTCAGGGGTGCAAATCTGTGGAGGCATAAAACACACAGCCATGTGTTCAATATACCAGCCAACATGAGGGCAGACAGTGGCATCATTCCTTCAGCTCAGCTGAGGTGCCATGTATTTCCCTCTGTTACACACATGCATTTCTGGGGCTGCAATGCTACCTGAGGCCAGGAGAGCAGTGGCCCCTGGAGTCCGCGTGCCAGGAGCATCACTCTCGTCACAGAATATGTGAAGGGCTTAACCCAAAGCCCACAGAGCTGTATATGGTGGCTCTACACATTTCAGAAAAATATTGTTTGGTTTATGCACAAATAAGTTTTCAGGTTGAATTAAGAACAATATAGGACCAACTTTACCAGAGGTATATGTGACTTGTTTGTTTGTTTTTAAAGATTTATTTATTTATGCATACAGAACTGGGGTACAGACCAGAGAGGGGTGGTGGATGAGAGGATTCACCAGAGACAGAGTGGGGAGCAGAACAGGCAGGTCGATGAAGTACACTGCTGAGGGGAACAGCGGGCAGTCAGGAGAGGTCTGCTGTACCATGTAGGTCAGCTCCCTGATTGGGGATCCAACTCATGCTGCAATGGCTTCTTATAATGCAGTGCTTTAACCTGTTTCCCCACCAGGGAGACCCTGTGATTTGTTTTAGAGGAGCTGGCTATTGGACCAGAGATGTTCTCCCCAATAAATAGGTACTATTGTTAGGGGAAAGGATGTCCTAAAGGAACTCTGCAGAGTTTTGTGGACTCCACCTCTTACTCCAGTTTTCTCCACCTCCTACTCCAGTGATTGGAAACTACAACTCCCAGCAGTACCAAGGAGAGAACTGCAAGGACCCATGGGCGGAGCTAAGCAGGCATTCTGGGACTTTTGGGGAGCTATAAGGGAGTGATGTGAGATGCTCTCTCTCTGGACTGCATCTCTCTCTGCACCATGTAGCTCTCTGGACGGCGGGGCGCACTCTCTGGACTGAGAGGCTGGTGGCTGGTCATTTGGCACTTGAGCTATCAGTGTATTGGAGTTCCAAGTCAGCAGAGCTGGTAGGATGTTCTAGTTAACTTATATCTTTCTCTCTTTTTCTCTGAGTTGTATATTTTCCTTTCCCCTTTTGTAAAGAAACCCATTATTGACCCTTTTGTGTGTGACTGCAGTACAATTGAATTTTAAGCGGGTGAGGACCCACAGACAAGGCACCCAGTTCACATTGGGGTACCCTGTAATACTATCATTATTTTCTGCTGTTTAAAAAGTGGCTACAAGCTGCCAGGCCCAGTGCTTGGTTATTTCCTTATAATGTGGATAAACTTTACAACTGCCTTTAAGTTAAACAGCAGAGTCTTTCTTCCCAAGTTCTTTTATTATAATACTGATGAGAAAAACCTGGGCAGCAGACCTGCTTTTCTTATACACTGTTTTATTTAAAATAGCAATGTCCAAGAACCGTAGACAACAGTAAGTGAGGGTTTATTGTATCATTTCCCTATTATAGATGAACAAAGCTTCTGAAAAATTAGGTATTTGCCTGGGTTCACATGGCCAGGCAAGTTAAAGCTGATATTGATAACCCAGGTGTCCTCTATTACAAAGCACCAAAGGGCCAAGGCCTTCATGAATATCTGAAAATACTAAAGAATGGCATGAAAAGAACCTATGAAATGAAGTTTTAATTTAAATCCACAAGAATGAGGCTGTCCCTGGTGGCACAGGGGTTAAAACTTCAGCACCATCAAGCTACCACCAGCCACTGCAGCCTGAGTTTGATCCCCAACAGAGAGCTAACCCCCACGACACAACCAGTCTCTCCTGTCTCGCCTGCTGCTGCCCTCAATTTTGTGATTTAGTAGATCTGCCTGTTCCACTCCTGACTCTATCTCTGGTTAATGTACTCACCCCCTATCTCTCGCACCCACCTCTATAAGTATATGCTTATAATTTATAAATTAATTATAAGTATGATATGCATTTATTACCATACTAATTAGAATGCCTATTGTAAAATATAAACAAAAATAAGGTTTAAAAAGAATGAGATAATATTACTTCAGTGTGAACAATTTTTCCCATAACACTACAGTTTGCTTTGTACATTCTGGGGACCACTGGCTGGAACACAGACTTGGGAGCTGGGAAACAAGAATTCCATATTTTTCCTTGGGACTAAGCTGCTCAGGATGGGCATGTTGATAAGCCTCCTCCATGCCCTCACCTGTCAGTACAGATGTGTGAGCCTACCTTGCTGAGTTATGAAGATTAAATAGCACAGTCTATATAAAACACACAACAAATTGACCCATGTTAAGCGCTTAGTAAATTTTAGTGATGTTTTCTACCTCTTGGTTTTCATGATTCTACATGGTTCAGATTCTCTATTTAATTTTTCTTTCAACTCATGTTTTTTCACTCTCAGGTATCCCAGTGGGGGCTTCCCCAAGACTTAGACTATCACTTTGTTTTCTTCCCTTTCCAGGTTCTTATTCTCTCAGTGCCTTTCTATTGCTCTGGCTTCAACCACTTCCCTGGTTGATGGATTTTCAAATCTGCATTTCAGCACTGATGTTTAATAGCAACTAAATTCTATATTTTCAAATGTTTATGTGACGGCTCTTCTAGTAAATTTTCTGTTATTTGTAACTCAGAACAGCCAAACTCAATCTCAGCATCATTTTATTTAAATGAAATTCCCATCTTGCTTATTTACTTGTCTATTTATTTATTTGGAAGCAACATCACTTTCCTAACTCTCTCAGCTAGAAATTGTAGTATAATTTCTCACCCTCACTCACCAAAACATCAGTCTTCTGAGCTAGCCGATGGAATTTGTCTTTGTAATAATATTCACTCCCTTTATTGCTAGTTCCCACAGGAACACACTCAGTTACATGTCTAAGAGCATGAATTTTAGAATCACATTTTCCTGATTTTGAGCTGGAATCCACCATCCGGTAATTGTTTATCCTTAGGCAAATTGTTTAATGTCTCTGAGCCTCAGTTTTCTCAACAGTAAATAAAAGGGGGGTGGGGGGAGAAATCCTGCTTCATTTCAATAGTTTAGTATTTCCCAGTCTTTAAAATTCTAAATGGCTTTTGAAAGCCTTAGCAGTTTAGGAAATAACTTTGTCATTTTGGGTGTGAAATATGACAAAGAGATATTCTGAAGTTAAAGCTTTTATCAAGTATCATATTGTAATATTCACATATGAGGTAAAGATGACATCATTTTAAATTTACACAAGTTATGAAAAAAGCCATTTTTGACAAATAAATTAAAATGGCATTATATCATAGTTGACTTAGTCATAACTTACATTAAAATATAGGAAAAGCCTAAAGTACTTGAGCTCAGGATGGAGTGCAGATTCAAGGTTCATTTTGAAATCCATGCATTTAACAAATAGATGGTTTACTTGAACACATTTTGTGCTTTGTTTCAAACTACAAAATGTTTATCCCTCTATAATGTAAGAATGTTATGGATAGACTTACAGATACCTATAGGCCTGTCTTTCTCTGTTGGCTTTTCAAATACTAGAGACAGCTTCAAAATTTGTTAGACCCTTTTACACTTTGAATAAAATGACATTTTATTTATTGTTTTAAAATTAATAGATTTTTAAAAAAGCAGCTTTAGAATTACAAAAAATGAGTGAAATATCTAGGATATTTTGGTCAATGAGAGAACTTGATATCTGTAAACATAATTGAAGTTGACCTGCAAAGTTATTTCACATTCTACTTGTGTGTCACTTGCTGTCTTTGTTTGGTATAACTAAAACAACAGATGACTGGGGTTAAGAAAAGTAAACTAGGCCCTCCCTGGTGGCACAGCAGGTTAGCATACAGCAGTGCAAGCTGGCTACAGCCATTTCAGTGTGAGTTCGATCCTCAGCTGCAGAGGTGACTCACATGGCACAGAAGACCTCTCCTGCTCCCCTCAGCAGTGTACTGCGTCAGTCGGCCTGTTCTGTTTTCCCACTCTGTTTCTGGTGAATCCTCTCACCCCCCTGAACCCCTGCCCTGAATCCTAGTTCTGGATGCATAAATAAATATTTAAAAAGAAAGAAAGTAAACTAGAGAGAAGGAAAAAGCACCATAGCTGACTGCCCAGCACAGTGGCTGTGTCACCAGCACAAGCTTCTGACCCTAAGTTCACCTACAGTTCACTCACTGTGGCCTCATGTGCCTCAGCCTGCTCCATTTTAGATGGAAAAAATCTTCAAATGTTTGTTTTTGCAAAAATTCACAATAACAGCAGACTCTATTCCATTTCAAAATAAGTGAGGCCTCTAAAAAGTTTTCATGAAGTCCATTTGTGAAATGTCAAGAAATAACACTGAATAAAGTGACTGCCATAGTATTGTAGTACACTGTCTCTTAGCCTATGTTCTCAAAATATATTTGCTGATGATGAATAAGTAAATGAAAACAAAAATAACTGGGAAATCTCTTAGTGTACAAACTTCCTAGTGGCTGATGCTATTTCTCTCACTGGAATCTTCGAAGTCAATCTTTCTTCCTATCATCATATAGACAAGTCGATCTTTCTTTAACCATTTTCTTAAAGTACTTAGCTTGAATTATTATTCTGTTGAAAAGAAACTGACTGCATTTGACAAGCAAAGAGGTATTCACTGTGTCAGATTGCAAATTGAGCCCATTGCAATATGTCCTGGTCTTAACTGTCAGTAATTCTGACTGCCCTATAATTTATGAAGATGTGTTAGAAGGCTTAGATGCCATCGTTAAGATTAGCCACAATGTCAGAAAGCAGGAAGGAAAAGGGGAAGGGGAAAGACCAAGAGGGATGGGTGGAGGGATGGAGGGAGAGGTGACTGAACAAGATAATTGAACAAGATGGTAGTCTCTCCGAGGTTATCTAAACTAAATTAATGGCACATGATTTTTAAATTTTACATTCTGCCTGAGCAATTCTGGTGATGGGAAATTCCTACCTCTGAAGCAGCCTTTTTCAATACTGAATCACTCTAGTAACTGGAAAGTTCTTTCTAATACTG